TTCAACTTCCATCACTATCTGATTTTTGCCTGACTCAAGTTAGCACCCCAAACAGGGGCAGATCTAGGGGTGGAGCCAGGGGGGCACTAATGAAATCTGATTGGCCCCTGAAGTGCCCCTGTCCTCATCTGAATCATAAATCGTGCACACATGTCGGACATATAATTGGCCTCTCTGTTCACATCAATTCATGGCCCCTGATTTAGACAAATACTAGATTGCCACTGTCTCTAAACCTCTCATTTACTGTCCATTCAATACATTTGCTGAATTGGGCTTGTCACTTTTTCAGTTCATCCTTTGCTGGGAATTCACAATTATGATTCCCACGCCAGCATCAGGGTCTGAAAACACTGTCATGGGGACTGTTTCTCCAAATCTGCTTTTTTAAAATATGCATGAAGAGAAGCTGGTGCCAAGTCAGGTGTGAGTAAGGAAACTGCGTCTTTTTCGTGAACACACTTTAGACAACAGCATATAAACTGCAGACTGTTGGGAGCTTTTCCATTCAGCGTTGACCTTTACGTTTACAGTCTGCTGTGGAATAATTCAGATACTATGTGGAGTTGGTATATTAAATGACAGGATTTTTTTAAATAAATGGTGAAGCATCTCCTGAGAGCTGGAGGCATTGTAAAGAAGGTTAAGTGACGTGATGGATCTTACATAATCTACCTGGTGGGTAGCAGGCAGCATGTGTCACAAGCACAATAAAAGATGGAGTGTGTTAAGAACAAAATAACTTGAATGTCTTTTTAAAAAGAGATCCCCCACTCAAAAAAAAGAGGTGAAATAAATACTAAAAATTATTTCTGATGTTTTGATATTGTCAGAGGTGTCAGAAGAGTATTTATCCACTTTCTAATAATTTGTCGTTTTTGTAAAATGTGCTTCTTCTCTTTCTAGCTGAGAGTTAAAAAAGAGAAGATTGATACCTCCCTCATATATGTCTGCTAGATATAAAGCTGCAGCTGCACTGCAGGACTTAAATGTAATTGATGGCTTATGCACACTCAATAAACTGAGACCTGCTGTCATATCAGAACAGCATGTGTTAGACTACTACCTATTACTGTTAGTAAGGTTATGTTTATTGTATGTCAACTCTGTTATTTATATTTAAAGTGTGAAACTGACTTCATGATATTGTGACGTCAGTTTTGTTGAGCCGTGCAGTTTGTAACTTTCTGAGACTTTCTCTATAGTATCACTGCACTATGAGTCATAGTTCCCTCATTTCTCTCCTTCTTCTTTTATATCATAGCACTTTCTGTTGAAATATACGCCACCTGAGTGTATAATTATATAATTGTAGATAAAAAAGATTTTTCAGTGTCCGGCTTGATTGACCCATATTAAGCAATAAAAAGGGAGAAACGCTGCTTGTCAAGGTTCATTAAGTCAACAGACACCTTCCCTCGGGAAGTAGGGGGGTCAGTGATTTGACTCATAGTTCACGACCGAGTCAGAATCTCTTATTCACTGCGGAGGAAACCAAACGCTGCAGCAGATTTGTCTTTCGAACAAGCCCTTGTTAGACAAAGCAGAACTATCCTAAGTAGGGTGTAGTTAATTCACACAGCATGGCCTGGCACCAACCAGCACATTCTTTGAGGGTGCAGGCGCGCTCACACACTGAATCAGATCATCTGTAAATTTGGCCCACTCTGAGTTCAGCATGCCAGGTCATAAATCGCGTGCAGTCTCACTGAACTCCAGCCTGCCTCCTGTCAGCCTGACTCGGCCACGTGAAGAAAAAAAAGGAGAACAGATAGGTATAAAAATTGTTTTGATGTGGTTGGAGGAGAACAGTTTCAACTTAGCAATATGCCACAGCTGATTTCCAGATGTTTGCTGTTACATCGGCTTTCTTCCAGCATTGCTGAAAAGAATTACATTAAAAATGACATAATGTAAACTCAATTATTTGTAATATTTTGATTTATGATGAAAAGACCCATTAGCTTGTATCTATTTTGGTTAACTGATTTTGCATGAGTACTCAAACAAAAATCCCAAACATGCAATGGTTCCAGCTTTCATGTGTGAAGATTTGTACTTTTACTCTGTGTTACATTATAGTAAACTGAATATATTAGAGTTTTAGATTATTAGTTGACCCAAAGAAATTAAAGAGTGTTATCTAAAGACATGACTGTTGGCATTTGGAAATCATATTGGCCATTACACATAATATCCTGATGTTTTATAGACCAAATAACAACTAATTGATTAACTGAGATAATCAGATCATTTGGTAAAATAATTTATGTTTCAGGTCTAATTTTGATTTAGTTTAAGTTTTTGTTATTTGTCCAAAATTACTTATTTATCATTTAGTTGTACATGTTTAAAATCAGAAAACATTCATCATTCGATCCAGTCAAGTAACAGATTACAAGCTTATTTACAGTCAAATTAGTCAAATGGTCTCAAGCCATTACCATTGTTTAAATACAAGTGTATTTCTGAGACTCAATATAAGACAAAATTGTGTGTGTGTGTGTGTGTGTGTGTGTGTTTCACCATCTGTGTTGCTTTCTCAGTCCGTCAGGCCTGTGTCTCATGTTCGGAGCGGAGCACATGGGACCTCTTAACTCCCTCTTGAATGCTTTGTTTGCCATCACACTCCTCATTCTAACAGACAGCTGTGTCAAATGTTGTTTGGGGGCCCGTTGCTAAATAATGGGCTCTTGGCTGTATGTGTTTGGGCATGGGTCTGTTTGGTTTGAGAGCATGGGAGCACTTTGTGGCAAAAGAAACAGCTCACGATGAGAAAAGGGGGCCACAATTGACTTTAGAGCACTCCGCTCACCCCTCAGTTCAGCAAGAGGCTGTCTGACCTAAATTCACTTTACCTCATCTGCCTAGACATTTGTTTAGCCTTCTGGGCAAACACTTAGAGAAATGTATGAGGGAGAGAGAGGGAAAAAAAAGAATACATATGCTTGAATACATCACATTTAGTCAGGGGAAAAGCTAAACCCGGACATCTGCAGACGTATACAGCCCTCTAGTGGCCATCTGCAAAGGACCTGGATCTGTGACAAAGGGCTTGAAGTGATTTATGCAGAATTTCCTAAAGCATCTGTGGAGGTTGTACCAAGACACTGACCAAATGTCTGCACGTCTTCTGTTTTGACATCAGACCCGGGTTTCTGTAACAGCGCTAATAATTGTTACCTAACATCAAATAATAGGAGTCACGAGTGAATAAAAAAAGCAAAACAACGGAGGCTGAGCAAAATGAATGAATTGAGGTCATAGAATATTACCATCAGGGAGAAAGACAGAAATTTTGTCTTTTGAGTACTGTACTCATTACAATGGCCTGGAGGAAGTGTGTGCTGTGAAATCATATGCTCTAGTTAAGCTAAACAAGGGCAAGGTATTCCCACATGAAGGACAGATGAGAATAAGTAAGTGGAAATCCAGACAGATGAGTAAGAGTTGAGGATGCTTTAGTGCTGTTTGGCCTCGGTATCTCACTCACATTCTCAGGTTGCAAATATATTCTCTCTCTCTCTCTCTCTCCCTCTCTTTACCTCAACCTCGCTCTGTCTCTGTGTGCGTGTGTGAGGCAAACCTCAAGGGTTCAGTGCAGCGAGCTCATTAAAGGCTTTATTCCACTTCCAGGATCCAGCAGGATTGCAATATGGACATTGTTTATACACAAATGTTGCCCAGGGAATAATGTTTATTTCTATTACCGTCTTGGAGGGGAAAATAAATAAATAAGGATCCAGAGCTTGTCTGCGCACATTGCTTTTCATGAAATAATGCCTCTCCAAGAGTGCTTTGAAGAAACGGCTATTTTTCAAACCACTTCACTCCAGCCTGGAGTCATACATCAGCTGCTCTCATCTTCAGTGGCACATGATGGTGTTGTGAGGAGGCCTGAGAAGCAAAAGTCACAGAATGGCACCACACAGACTCATGTCAGAAACTGTTTCACATTGTAGTCTCACTGAACCTCGTCCTCTGAAACCGCTCCGCTCATTAGCATATATACTACAAATGTCACTGCGCGTCCTCCGCAGCCGGACGGCGAATGGCTCAGAGTTTATCTCAGCCGAGCGGTCACTAAAGTGTCATTTTAAACGGCAGGACCCGGCGGCACGTCTGGGAGGCAGCTGATGACGCAGCACAGTGTTGCTACACACCCCGAGCTGTGTTTGGAAACACTGAGGCAGCTCACTACTACAGTGGGAGCCAATGGGAACAGCTGAACCGTGAACTCTTTAGCTCAGCCAAGCGCAGAAAGAAGGGGGGAGAAGAGAGACACACAGAGATCCAGGAAATGCCTGAGCAAGCTGCAGTGACAGCGCAGCCCATCAGCTCACACACAGCCACATCAGGCCGCACACTGATCACACTCACATGATATATCCATCCCCCTGTAATTGCATTGCTGTTTAGAGAGGCGGTCATTATTTATAAAATATCGAAATAACGAATGGCGTCTCCCGGCAGATATTAAGAAGAGAGATGCCACAGATAAGTCAGAGGCGGGCCGCCGCCACGTCTAACCCCCCCACCCCCTCATTTGTGGGCCACTTGCCCAGTAGCCTGGCTGCAGAAAACCTGCAGTCATCACAAAGTGGAAATATTTACTGCTCACACTCTTGCATATGGGAGGATGGAGTGTGGTTGAGGGCAACTGATAAATGACTGTGTTTGTGTTTCGAGGGGAGTGCTAATCAGATTCCTTCAGCTTCAGAGGCATCTGAGGACAGCCGAGCTAAAGGTAGTGAGCGAGGATTTATTTGTGGCACAGGCTCCAGTGGAAAGAGAGCCACCACGGGTGTAACACAGAAAACAGGACGTTTAATTCACAAAGAAACGCAGGAAATTTTAACAAAGTTCTCATGCTGTGTAGATTGCGTCCGCAGACAAGCGTTGATGGTACACAAGCGCATAAGGCCCATTATTAGAATCACTTCATTCATCATGTGGTTTGTTGTGTAAACATGTGGGTGTCTGTGCGTTTGTTTCTGCAGAACACCCTTGAGACCTGCAACATCTGCAGTAAGCCCATCATGGAGCGCATCCTGCGGGCTACAGGGAAAGCCTACCACCCTCACTGCTTCACCTGTGTGGTGTGCCACCGCAGCCTGGATGGCATCCCTTTCACCGTGGACGCTTCCAACCACATCCACTGCATCGAGGACTTTCACAAGTATGACATTCAGGTTTTCATCAGCTTTAAAGCTGCACCAATCAATATGTTTTCTATTAAAAACCAATCAAATAACTGTATATGAAATGAAAAGGGGTCACGATGAACCCAAGAATTATCATCTGTGCCTTGTTCCTATTTTCATCTCATTGATTGATTTTTTACAGCCTGAAACATTATGTGGCTACATCTGTCAATACAACTTCACTTTCAAAGCCACATCAAGCAGAAGGACGCAGTTTTGAGTAAAATAAGGTATCTGATCTACCAACTATATCAGCACTAAACAACTGACAGACAAACCTTGGGTCAGATAATTCCCTCAGGAGTTGGTGGAGACCAAACCAAGAGTGACTATTAGATCAACTTTTGACTCGAGTAAGGTTTGATTCACTTGTCCTGTTTCAAAACCTCCGAATACCTGAGATAAAAATGGTCTTGTTTATTGTACATATTGTAGTTTGTAACTAGCAGGCTGCTGCTACTTATTTAATTATGGCACTAGGTTAAGTCTTCAACTGAGCAAAGGACATCTGAGGTGCTGCAAACAGTCAAGCGTCTAAAAGTTTGTGCTACATGCTAAATAAACAAGACACATTTGCCTGTGGTCGATGCTAGTTGCAGTTTTGCTCAGCTAAACACATCTTCTTATCAAACTTTAAACTAGGCAAGCAACTAGCATGTGTCTAAAATCCCAGCATATTCATTAAAGCTTCTCTCGTCTCTTTATGTTACCAATCATCATTGTCCATGACAAACATGACAAACATGACAAACGAATGCTAAGGTTGCTTCGTGTCTGGCTGATGTGTTATTAGACAACTGTTTTTTCTAACATTATAAGATGGTCACACAACCAAGCTACATTGCTTCAGTATCCTTAACTGAAATTAAAAATTCTGCTGTATTAGAGTTGTGTCAATACAGGATCTTCTTGCTTCCTTTTCTTGAAATACCACGAACAATTTCACAAGCCCACTAACCTTTTGAGATGCAGCAGTGGACATGAATTTAATAGTAAATTCCTGCCATTGTGTCACACTCTGATTGCACAACCGCCACCTTACCAGAAATGTTCCCTGACTCAGTGACCAGAAGGGAAACAGAAGTAAACAACGGGCTCTTGCTGTGAGTGCACAGCGTTTGCTGTATGGAGTCGCTGCACTGGGCTGTTGTTTAATTCCACCTGACAAGTGTGACCTCAGCGGTGTAGCCCTCTGTGTCGAGGAACAGTCACGCCTGAGCTTTTTGTGTCAATGATTGTCAGGCACGGAATGCACTTGTAGAATTTCTTTTTTTTGGGGCCACTCAGTGTGGAAGTGGACAGGACCTGAGATCTCAGCATGCGTCTCATATCCTCATTAATTCTATTAGTATATCAACCTCTTCCTGTTAAAGGCATTTCCAGAGTTACCATTTTGAAAGCTTGTTCTGTAAATTTTGCTGAGAGTCAGTTAAGATATTTGTTATAGTCTCACTATATTTAGATATTTCCTCAAACGTTCTATTTAAATGAAGTATTTCAGAGAAAAGCAGATTTAGATTTTAGTGCCTTTTCAGTGAGCTTTTAAATAATTAAAGAGCCTATATGTAAGTTTTTGCTGTTGCTACATAGCCGACATTAGCATTAACAGCTGTTTACTTAAAAGAAATGCTGCAGCTTCAGCATCAAACTTCATACTTTGCTCACCAAAATGCTTCTGGTCATGACTGAATTGAACCGCAACCAATCAGAGTGACAAAAGGTATGAGGTTGTGTATCAACAAACATTGTAAGTCCACTTGTTTATTCTTATTTTTGAGAACATAAACCATTGAAATAATGCAATACTGTCCCAATTCAACAGACATAACCCTGTCCATATCCAATACATCCTAAACATGAGAGGTTTGGTTTCTTATTTTTCCTCTTGTGTGAACAAATGAAACACTTAATGGATGGATCGGTCAGTGCAGAGATTCCCAAACCTGAGGGGATGTAAAAGAAATCTGAGGAATCATGAAAATCAAATGTCTGCAAATTAGTAAGAATAATTCTTTCTTATTTTTCATTTGAATTACTGGAAAACCTTATCATTTTCACCCCTGAAACCATTTTAAATATAACAAGAAGAAACATTACTAGAGTCAGTTGAAATGGTTATGGCAAAATATGTAATGCACCATTTTCAGACATTTTAAAGACAGGCAAATTAATCTAAACTCATAATGGTGCTTGTGTTGCAGTCACTGGAAACCTCCCTCTGCCAAATAGTGAATGAGTAGAGTTCCCTTCTCAAAAAGTACATTTGTCTCAAATTCAAGATCACATAATGTCTCCTTATGTTCTGTTCATTCTCGCAGGAAGTTCGCTCCACGCTGCTGTGTGTGCTCTGAGCCTATAATGCCAGCGCCAGGCCAGGAGGAGACCGTCCGTATTGTGGCCCTGGACCGCGACTTCCATGTGCAGTGCTACCGCTGTGAGGTACATGTTGTCTGTTTATCTGTCCTGGTATGTTAGCACCCTATAATTAGCTGTGGTCTTCATGTACCACAGCTGCAAGCGACCGTCATAATAGCAGGAAGGTGTAAGGCACGATGTGCATGCCCATCCCCAGAGTCACCTTTTCAGCAAGACGAGTGAATCATTCCTCTCTTACCTGCCTCAAAATAGCTTTTCATCCTCCTCTGCAAAGTTCATGGACTTACATAGTAACCAATCAGTCAGCCGTCGCTCGCCGGCTGATAAGCTGCACATTACGTGCCCGGCTAAAAGAGAAGTAACGTGTCACATTGTCAAAGAACTATTTCAGTGTGAGAACACAGAGCATTTGGCAGACATAAAGGTCAAATGAAAGCAAAGCAGATTAGTTCTGCTGAAGGGGCTCAGCAAGAGAAGAATTGTGTCACCAGGGAAACATGAGTAGATGGAGATGTAATTCAGTGTTTGTGTGTGAGAGAGAGAGAGAGAGAGAGAGGTGTTGAAAGTGTCACAGGGAATGAGATAATATTGCTAATGCAATTTGTGCAGCTGTATTAATATAAGAAAAACAACAAGACCAACAATTGACAGGTTTTTCACAACTTGTGGAAGTGTTTTGTCTGATTCTGAGGGCAAGAGTCTGAAAGAAAAAGATCTACACACTCTACTTTAATAAAGTGACATTTTGATTGAACTGAGGCTTTGTCACGTGACCAACGCAGAGCGGAACATGGTAGAAACTGAAGTCCTCTCTTTTGCACCTTTTTTTTTTAGGTTGCAGCCTTATACTGAAATTTCTCTCAGTTTTTTTTTCCTCCCATCACATTCAATCGCTAAAAATGAGTAAAACTGGATTTATTTTTGTATGTATGTATAAAAATGGGAATATAACTTAAATTAACATTAGTTGTGTTGGCATACAGTTGTCCAGCGAATTGAAAGCAAACTTTTGAAATGTCACAAAAAAGAAAATCATTTGAAGCAAATAAACTAAGCTGTGTAAGGTTGTCAGAAGGTGGCAGGGAATCACCCAAGTCTTTCGAGTAAATCCTCTGACGATCATGAAAGCAATTGGAATCCATTTAAAGTTGTTTATGTATTTCAATCTGGACCAAAATCGTGGACTGACTTGCAGATATCCATCCACCTCGCTGCTAGCATGGCTAAATATTAGTAATGTTCACTTGCACAAAAAAAGTTGAAATAGCAAACACAAGATGAAACTTAACATAAGAGGAATAGAAGTAGAAAACAATCTTTTTTATATAAACACAAAAACATTTTAGGATTAACTTCAAGAAATGATTACGCAGTAATAATCAGCTGTTGCTGGTACAGATTCACCAGCTCATGGAAAACCAAATTACTGTGTTTGACTTAGAGAGCCTCCTGATAGTTTCAACAGCTGTAAACGTCTCATTCAGGGCGTGAGCTCTGCGGGTGTATGAACGTGTCTAATCGCTAAGCGTGGCTAACGGTTGTGTTTGTGTTTGTGGACTTACGGAGTATCTGTGTCCTGCAGGACTGTGGCTCTCTGCTCTCAGAGGGGGACAACCAGGGCTGCTACCCTCTGGACGGACACGTCCTCTGCAAAAACTGTAACACCAGCCGCATCCAGGCCCTCACCGCCAAGGCCACCACTGACCTCTGAACAAGCCGGCGCCCGGTCACCTCCACTGTGATTACCCAACGCTCGCTCTCTCTCACTCTTTCTCCTTCACTCCCTCCCTTTCTCGCAGGCATACCCATCCCCCACTTGCATTCACCATATATACACATTTGAATATATTCTATATTCACCTTCAGCAACAAAGAAGACCATCACATGTTCACCTATATTATCTATAGACTCAGTACAGTCACAGCAGAAGAGACAGTGCTCGTGTCTCAATTCAGGGGCTGTCCTACTTTGAAGGCTCCTTGAAATGCTTCCCTCCACCCACCAAACTATATCCACGAAGCTCAATAATCTTGTATCTCATTTGTGGTTTTTCAAGGGGGTTATTTGCTGCTTCTGGCCAAGAAATATTCCTACACATAACCCACCACCGTCCACCACCATAAAGCCGCAACATGGGCAGCATTGGAGGAGCTCATTTGCAGATTAGTTTTTTTTTTATCTGGACAGACCTCTGTTAGCTATTTTCCCCATTCCCAGTCTTAACATTAAGGTACTATACAAAAATAGAAGTGGCGTTAAACTTCTCATCCAACTTACAACAAGAGAGCAAATAATCGTTTTTTCCCCAAAGTGTTAAACTGTTGAATTACTCTGAATCCATCAGTTACAATTTACATCATCACTCAGTGTTATTATCTCATATCATAATTATCTTCAGCCAGTATCTTCCAGCCACTGTGCACAGCCATGCGTTTAAGCATGCAACCCAAATTTTACATACTGACTGGTTCTCGTGATCTAAAATCTGAGTGCACGAGAACATGCAGGATGTTTGACACATGTGCCCTGCAGGTGAAGTGGGTGTGTGTGTGTGAGTGTGTTCAGAAAAACCATGGAGCGTTCAGTAAATCATTTAGTTTATTCTTTCATCTTTATTATAGTGCACATGCGCTGACAGCACACACAGAGGAATGGAATTACACAGTGAAGCTTATTATTATAGAACAGTTCTGCATAACTGAACACCAAAGAATTGAATTTAAGCTGCCGTGTGTAGTAATTCTGTTTGCAACTATATGATACATTTCATTCAGTGTGTGGATCGCTTGAAACACAAGACACAGAACAAAATCTTGTCGGTGCACCGTTCCTGGAGGTACTGAAATACCAGGTCGATAAATGCAATTCTCCTTTTTTAACATAATATTGTCTTTGTACTTTCCTGTAGACTTTGCTTTGATATAAACAGTATATAACGTTTGTGTTGGCCTGAACTGTACAATCAAGACATTCCATTCATAGAAACATGGCCTGTTAGAGCAGATAGACCATAGATCAATTACCATGCCATGGATTAGATCAGTGACTGCACTGTAAGCAGTCTGGCAGGGAAAAAAACAATATGACATGGCTATGCAATTTTTAATGTTAATTGCATTGACACTTTATAAGAAATTTTATGAATAAGGAAATATTTTACCTGTACAGATCCAAGCATAAGTGTCCTTATATTAATCCTTTAATCCAGACTATGCTGGTACTGTTTGACTTTGTGCGTCACTGTGCTGTGTGTCAGTATTGACTGCCGTCTTTTATATCTAGTGTTTGTTTAACGTTGATGGGTGAAGAAGGGACCTTTCCCACATATGATTTTATTTTTATTGTTTGTTCCACTAAAGGTGATGGACCAGTAGTTTGACTGCTTGATTTGATCTGATTTAATGAGACATTTAAAGATGGTGAGTTAAATGTACCCTGTGGAATTTTCACCACTCATTCCTGGTGTCTCCTCACTCAGTGAGAGCGACAAAGACACTAAATGACTATAAAACGATCGCAATGAGACACAAAGAGATGTGAAATGACTATTAAGAGGATTTTAGTTTCGGGGTGTGGCGTTTATGTAGGAGGGGTCAGGCACCTTTAACATGCACATCATCCAAGGGTCCAATATCCATGGCAATAGGAGTCACAGTGCATGTGGGTGATATGATATGAACACTTTTAACAACTGGTTTCACACCATTTCACTGATCAACAATATTGTCAGTGAAGTAGAGAAGACTACACGCTCGTGAAGAGGATGTAAACATTGAACATTTTTAAAAACAAACAGTTTTGTGAATCTGCAAAATCTTTTCATTCGATGGATATAAATCTTTGTTGCAGGATACACACAATATGTTTTGGTGACAAATTGTGATATTAAACCAAACTTAACTTAGTTTACATCATCCACAGGGTACCTTTAAACACCATAGACAATGTTATTCATACTGGTCGGCCAGTTCATTATCTGGACTGTTTTTTTACAGTCAAACCACATCACCACAAACCAGAGTTTTTAAAACCCCTGATTACAAATGTCCTGTGCATGTGTATTTATAGGTTATGAACATTATTATTTACGGAGACTTCTCTCTTCTTCTTCCTGGTGTTTTCCTCTCACATTAAGTTTAGTGCCATCTGGACATGATAGAAAGTGATTATACGAACAAATGAATCTCTATTTACTTTATGTATTATAATCTGAATGTGGTCACAGGAGACTTGTGAGATCAGTTTGAGTGTGGCACTATTTCACCAGGGTAACACAATGTAAATGTATGTGCTAATAAGATCATTCATTAATTAACTGTGATTACAACAAATTGCCTTCAGCAGAATTATAGGAAAAGACTGAAGTTTTTAATATTCCTTAACATCCAGTAAAAACTTGTGTTTGAGCTGAAGGTGAGAAGGTGGGACGGAGTGTGAACTCTGTTTATTTGGTTCTCAGACGCACTGCGTGCACAGACAGAAGCAGCCTCACACGCCTCGAGCGGGAAGCAGAGGGAGGCTGCTTCTCTCGAAGGTTAGGCAACCTCAACTCCATATCCTGAGGAATTTTTTTCATCAATATCTGACGCGCATATTTAGCCAGACAGTTCATCGGTCACAGAGAAATACCAACCGACAGCAAGACCTCGGCAGCTTCAGAAAAATCATCTCAGTGCAGCGCCTGAGAAAGAAATTTTAGTGCGTCTTAAAAACATGTTTAAGTGTCTCAAAGGTGTCACAAAACTCAAGCTAGTTAGTCTATTTATATCCATCGTGAGCATGTTTTATCATTTTATTGGTCTTTTCTCAAGTTACAAACTTATATTCTGCTTATTCTGTCTCCTCCACTTACACAAGCTCCATCGCGTCCTCGCTGACTGTGGCCATTTGACACCTGAGACATCTGATTACCTCTGGTTTCTAGGCAACAGAGGACAAAAAAAGCCACACTCCATATATCATTATGTCACTTACTGTACGTTGCTAGGTTTCAGCTCATAGATGTAGCCGAGCATCGGGCGGAGTTAGCATGTGACGCAGGCAGCGTGTTAAAGGTCGCTGCGGGGCCCTGTGACCTGCTGCGATAATTAGACAAGCAGTGTTGAAGGTTACAACAGGGGTTTTACATCTGCTGATGAAAACACAGATGAAGATGTCAAAGTGACTCCAGAGGCAGAGAAAACAATCCTTCATCCCGGCAGTCGATGAATTTAAAAAAGCAGTATAGTGGTTCTCATTTGAAATTATTCTTCAGGTATCAGGTGCAGAGCTCATTCAGTACTCATCGCCTCAGTTTTCTATAGTAGCCTTAAAGTTGTGATGCATTATTCTGATGTCACGCTCTTGGGACAACATTGTTATACTATTATTACACTGTTGAATCATTCCAGAGTTGTTTAACTTCATCTGTGACAGTCTGAGGAAGCGCAGAGTAAATGGGAGCTTCAGATCAAACATCTGTGGAAAGAAGTAGTTTGCATCTTTGCAGAGTGAGTGTTCTTAAATTAGACATTTTATATGAAAAACAATGAAACATGCAGTAAACGTCTTCACAGCACATGGTGTGAGAGGAAGAACAAATTGTAACAGTGTGTTAAAGGGAATTTAATGTAATTGATGTAAGAGAACATTACTGTGTAACAACTTTAAATATTTTAGCCAGCATATAAGATGTGAGGTCATTTAAAGCTGTGCTAATCATTTGTATATTAACAGTAGATTCAGTAATAGAGTGCAATGTAAAACGCGTTGCTCCTGGTGACGATCCCACAAAGAATCGTAGCCAGATTCTGCAGTTTCACTCAGCTACCAAACTTTAGTGTCTTTCAGCTCATTGTTCTGGTTTTATGTTGTGCACCTTCACTGTTTTGGAAAACAGAAAACAGAGCTCCATTGAACCAGCCGCTTCTATAAAACCCTTAACACAACATGTGACATAAACCAAACTCGCAAAACCAGAATCACCATAATACTCATCCTGATGAAAGTCTTTCGTGGTTTTAGGTGTTAAATTCATTTTTTTCAGTATTTCATTATTAGCATGTATTTTACAATGTGTACCCTGGTCTGGTCCATGAGCACAGATGTGAATCTATGCTTTAGTTTTTCATTGTGCCATTACAGCTGTGTTACACTCCTGTTTGCTGGATTTGTCAGCGGACACATCACACATGTTTGTGGGAGCATATTCGACATGAATCTACTCGAGACGTCTGATGCTTTAAGTACAGAGACCATTTAATGATTTTCAGTGTATTTGTGTTGTGTTACTGTCTTTGTTCTACCCAAGTGTGTAAAAGTGCCCTCGGCTGAGCAGCACTGAATCACTAAACTGTTCATATGTCGCTGTGCCTCAAGATGCTGCCTTGTTTACTTGTGTTTTGCCAAAGTAAATAAACAGGCTGCCTTTTGTTTGTTAGTCCGTACAGGGGGTGTCTGTATCAGGTGCGGTGACTTTAAGACCAGCAGCAGTCTGAAACGCTGCTGTGTGTGAGAGAGCTTGACCCCCTGTTGATAAAGTTAAGCGTCTCATCTGTTCTTCATCATTGGAAGGGGCATGTAGTCGACTGTTGTTTTCTCTTCTTCAATAAAAAGCTTTTGCAACAGCATCACTTCTCTGCATCTTTATGTGCTCCCAGTCTTCTTCCTGTCAGATCACATGAGAGGATATTAGAATCTCTTTCTGATTCCGGGAAAGCCCCCATCCCCCCCCAACCCCCCCTTGTCGCTGGTTAACACTTGCTCTTTGACTCCTGGTCCGATGGATTTTCCCCCGGTAATGAGCTCTTTCTCTCCCTCTTCTCCTGGCGCTCCGCTGCAACCTCGCAGTGACCTCCTGCGCAGCGTACCTGCAGATGAAAGAGATTTATTTCCAACAAGTATAACCCAGGGCTCCTTCACTCTTTTCAAGAGTCATTTAAAAGCCCTTCAGTGGCTGCAAATGCCCCTGTGCTTACACAGCGCAGATTCATTTCCTCTTTTCTCATGCTGCGCTCTGTAGTGCCCTTTAGATGAATTGGAATCACCTGCTTAATAGAAATCCTACACTCGCAATAGACTTTTGAGTGTACATCTGGGACAACGGTTTAATTACCACGGAGATACAGTGAGCAGTGGCCACCATCAGCAAGTCTGCTTACTGCTGCCATCAGCGTGATGGAGTTGTTAGAATAATTTAAAGACCTCCTGAAAAGACTTTTATTTTCTGTCGCCTTTCCAAGACCGCTTGATTTAATCTTTTCCATTTGTCATCTTTACTTGCGAGCCACATGTCAGCAGTAAGTCACGAGTGTTTCAGTTCATTCCTACAGATTCATTCTAACAGCAATCTGAATTGTTCGAGCAGAGACAAAATGAATCTCTGGACAAAAGGAGGAAACCTGTAAAATATTTTAAATGTTCGAGACAAAGTAGCAGCCGAGTTTTGTCTGATCACTTACAAGTGACGTACATTACAGTTTGAAATCAAACAGAAATATTTATCCACCGCCAGTCTGGTGCCGACAGTAAACAGAGAAGTTATATCACCAGCTTATTGCTCTCCTGCCTCTGACGTGAACTGTAAAGTGTGTGTTCACCCCCTTATTCCTCTTTTAGTAAACTGAAGATTTAGGCACGCCGACAACGTGGAGATTTCCTCGTAATTTTTTGCTAAATATGCTGCAGGCCGTGCTGTGTGTGTGTGTGTGTGTGTGTCAGCTGCGTGTGTGTTTGCGTGTGTGTGTCTGCCTGTCTGCCTGCGTGTGCGTGTCTGAGAATGAGAAGCCCTGCAGCACTTTAGCCGAGGACTTGCTTTACTGCACATAAATCTGGTGTTTACAAACAAATTGATGAGTGATGGGCCCTCCAGCCAACATGATGTACCCACCAATTTCTTCTTCTGCATAAAATCCCAGCGTCAAGTCTCCAGGGGCCTGCTTCGGCATTTTTGAATGTCTTCTTGTAATATGCTGAATTATGGCTTGAATGATTTACCAGGAAGCAGAGATGAGCACAAGGGAGCAAAATGGGCCACTATCATGCATAATCTCACACAATGTAATTTAAATGAGGTTGTCATATGGTCAGATTTACATAACATTACAATGTGGGCCAACATCGCAGTGCTCTGAGCTTAATGTTATTAGCTTTAAAGTGAATTCCCACTGTGCATTTGCATCAGGAGCATTGATTTTGTGCATCCTTGAGTTAGCTGAAGATAGTGATGTAATCAGTGAGTCAGTGTTGCTCTCAGTAGAACTCGGAACACGTCGCATTTAAACCATTTTTATGTTCTCTTGTTCTGCTGTGAGCATCCAAGGACTGGCCAAGGTGCCTGCAGAGTTCCACACATGTTTGTAACTTCCTCTTTTATTTCCATCAAGACGTTTTAAAGATTAAGAACTTTTTCCATCAGTTTTCTGAAGAGGAGAGAAGCAGACTTCAGAGCCTGGACGGTGTCGCAGAAACCAAACTCTTCCTCTGTGAGTGTGCTTTCATTACAGACTGATGCAAACCTCAGAATGTTGCATTCATGAATGAACAATAAACAGTTTTAAGTGCCATTATCCATGCAGCAGACTTTCTAAAACAACTGCAATCATGTAAAATGAAAATTACCCCTGGCAGTCACTCTGTTCTTTACAGGCGCCAGTCAATCTGGTTTATGTGAACTGTTTTTGGTTCGTCTAATATTCTGCTGCTGGGGACTGCTACACTCCAGATTGTTTCCTCATTAATATTTAACAACGCACCAAACATTTTTGGAATTCAAATGTTCAGTAAAGTACAATAATACTTATTATGTATGTTAGCGTGGAACAAGTCATAAAATCTACTTTGCCTGTTGTTAACAACACGAAAACTAACTTTGTCTTCAATTGTACATTTACTGTTCTCCAAGTCAGCCCCATGCTGTAGAGAATGAACTCTGCTGGCTGCAGGGTCTACAGATGACAAACTGATTTGGGTCAGTCATCTTTACATTTAGCTCAGCTTGCTAAACTAGACGCTGAACATGTCTGTTAAACCACTAATTCAGGCTGGGTCACGTGCACTTGGTTTCTCTAAGATTCTATATAATACTATATGTATAACACTGTAGGGGCTGCTGCCCTCCAGATTGTTATTCTTTGTGTTTTATATCCCAAACTACTAAAATGAATTTTCAATATTAAACATTTCATGAATAAATCAATTTTTTTTAGCTTCTAGCAAATCAGTATAGTACATTAGAAAACATCACCATGGTTACACTCTTAACTAAGGTGGTGTCCATGGATAACATTGTTTTTTAACATCAACATATTAGCATTATTGTGAGAATTTTTGCACACTAATGTTAGCATAGGCTCAAACACTGGTGTGCCTCCAGCTTCACAAAGCTGCTCTGACCCCAGACTGTTGACATGAATCTGTATCCAGGGTTTCCGGACCCTGTTCCAGCCGGGGACCTTTTAATGTTCTGTCTGAACTGACTTTAGAAACTGAACCTTGGGTTCACACTGAACTGTTCCACATTTGTTCCTTAAAAGTTCTAGAAACTACACTGAATTGGGCTCGACAAGAACATGCGGGGCCCAATTTGTGCCTCTTACAGTATATCTGTGAAAAATGTACTTTAGATTTCAAAATCTTTTTTTTTGACATATTCTCAGGCTATTTTTCTGTAGAATAATAAACTCCTCCAGTGGCAGCTTTATGCTTCCTGAACTTTTATACCCAGCAAGAAAGAAAAAAACGAAACACAAACGCAGGATGCAATGTTTTCTTGCAGAATTACTGTAGACGTTGTTTTCTGGCGAAATGTCCTCTTAGCTGAAGAAGATCATTTTGCAGAGGGAGTCAGCATCATCAGGCTACAACACTGAGCAGCTTCAACCTAATATAAGAAAATAACCTGCAGTGACTCACCACAGTCTGTCACACGTGCACTTTGTGCCTGGAAAGATGAAAATGCAACAGCCAACACTTTCTGTACACTCATATTTTTAAATGTAGCACATGTACAGAGTGTATTGGGATGAAGCAGCAGAGCTACATGTTATTAGCCTGGTACTTATATCATTCATCACATGAGGGCTGCCCTCATTAGAGTGAAGAGGGTGAGTTTGCAACTGATACACACAGCAGGTTAGCTGCTACCAATGTGATCATGATTTACATCTGAAGCAGCCACAGAGCCACAGTGGACATGATCACACACTATGGGTTATCACACAAACACCTGAAGCTACTGTCTGCCACACATCAACACATGGTTTAACATAGAGAGTGTGAGGTGTGGACACAACACGGTTCATTTATTGTTAACACAAGCAGTTAATACATCTTTAAGAAACAAAAAAATCAACGTCACAGATTGATATTTGAGTTGCTTAGTTCGAAAAGTGGTTGCAGTACTGCTCTAGTATAGTTCCAAGTTCTAATTTTTCCCGTACTGAGACCTGCAGTGGTTGACAGCTGAGACAGATACACGATTGGTTGAGCTTGTGTATCGACGGGACCCTGTTACCACAGCTCCATCCCCTAATTGCTACTTTGCAGACTCTGGCAACAAAATGACACCATCTTGAAAGATATAGCAGCTTTGTGCACGGGATATTGTAGCCTCATTTCTGGACAGTGGGAGGAGGTGGAGCCATGTTGTCCAAATAATATCTTGACAAACTCTGGATGAATTATCATTTATTAAAACAGAGTTCCCGTCCAATCACACAGATCTGCAGTTGGGATTTTTTTAAAACCTGTATCAATGAACGTTAACCAATTGTTTTAGCTGCTGAACCTAAACAATAACCACCGTCTATAATGTTGATCATAGCCTGGTTGCCAAGAAGAAATATTGTAGAATCTCACTATTTTGTGACATTTAAGAGCCTCAACATTGATCGATTTAGATTCTTTTT